CTTTGCAAATGCCCTGTGAAGACCATAAAACGATGAAAAGGAGATCCCTAATTCCTCGTTATTCCTTACAACAACTCTCCCAATTACCTCAGAACCCTCCTTCCTTATCGTGGGATCCTAACTGGCTTGTTTTAAGAGTAGTCGTGCTCCCTCCACGATCTTGGGAGTTCCGGGCGGAATATTTGTTTTTCGGGAGCAGACTACATGGCTTGTATGCCTATCTCTCATGCTTGCGGAGCAGGCCGCCAGACGCAATGCAGCAAAATCACCTCCCCAAGAATATTCTAGCCCAGCTTCATGCAGCCAATGCTTGCCTCTAGCCCAAACGGTGGTCTTTTGGCTGTGGATTGCCCGACACCAAGCCCATCCCTCAACTGTTTTTTTTCTCCCCAATCCGGTCCAGTGCTTTGACCACGCCTTGGGCAAAGCTTTGGTGGCGATTTCCTGTGGCCAAGCTGAAATCAATCTGCAGCGCGTGCGTACTTTGTGGCCAGATGACGAATGCACGGCTGAATCTTGCTCTGATCGACTATCATAGGCAAGCCAGATTACACACTTTCTTCATACAGGTGAAAAGATCAACTGCTCAGGCTTTAACTCTTTCCTCTAAGCCAGCCTGCCACTGCACTTCCACCGCAGCCCATGGTGAGTCCTGAGAGCTAAGCTTGCCCAAGCACAGCTTGGCATGTATCAAGTGTAACATTGGCAACTGCTGAGCCTTTGCAGCGGGCAGCGCTGTAGCAGGGAACACTCACCAACTTGGAGCCATCAAATGTCCGTGTCACATCAAGACACTTGGCAGCATATCAAGCACACGTTCAACAGGGCAAGCGCTGAGCCTGGCCTCCGCGCTTTCCGCGCTTGGCAGTTGTATCTGTGGTGCGAGATCCAAAAGATGAGTTGGCCCAACACAGCACTGGCATGCCAACTGACGTGTGGGCAAACCAGGCCAGGCTCTAGCGACACTGCCTACTCTGCCCCTGTTCTCCCTTCTTCTCCCACGACCTGCTTCCTGGTAAACACCAAGACCGACACACAGCAACATTCAACCTGTCGCCATGTTTGTTTCTAAACGCTGTTAACCTAGAAAATACTCCAAGACCCAAACCTTCGCAGATGCTTGTGGCGGCGCAGGAGCTGCAGGCGCCAGGGGGACATCCTGGACAAGCGGTGGTTTCCGCCTGTCTAACATCCAACTTCGAATTGACAGTGCATTCAGCTGACGGAGCGCTCCACAAGGGCAAGCATTCAAGAGAGACAGTGAGGAGCAAGAAAGAAAAAGAGTTGCCATTTGGTGCAGCAAGTGGTCAGTTCAGGAACGAAGACATGTACGCAGGTCATCTGCAGCTGCACAACTATGTCAAATTTTCTGAATCCAGCATGATGTGTAGATTTGACACACAAGGAGCCTCGTCGTCAGAGAGAATCTCCATCAGCTCCCGAATGCCAGTACGTCACGCTTATACCGGAATAAGAGAAACCCCTAGGAACAGGCAAACAGGCAGGTCTCTGAAGAATGCTCAATGTGATCTGACTTGTATTTCGCGAGCGTGAAACATCCTAGCACCGGCTGCCCAGTCAAATCCCCAGATGACTGGGCCTGGAGCCAGACCCTGACACGCATCAGATCAAGGCAGGACAAACACGGGAACAATTTCCAGTCAAGTTTGTAATTACAGCAGCCCCTGCACATCGCTCGAACATCGCTGGCCAGACAGAAAAAGTACTTGCTAGATCCTGGAACTCAAACTTCCATGAGAGCGTCAGATTGGCTGAGGCCCCGCGCTTTTGCAGACCCCTGTCTGGCCACTCCAGAAACCTTGCACTGCGCGCTTCTACGGCTGTGTTTTCAGAATGTGGAAAACTGGTCCATGTTTGGTGCCGCACGTGCTCTGAACGCAGTACCTGAAGTAGAGCAAAAGCTGGAAATCGTCATCGTCCAGATCTGCTGGCTACTTCAAAACTCACTTGAACACCAAATATCCTGTCATTTCACAACCAAGATCTATCTGAAGTGCAGCCGGCAGTCATGATCAAGATGTAGAGCGAACAAAGACCTTAGGGCAAGCTTTCCTCTTAGGTACGATTCACCTGTGCCCTCATCAAATTGTCAGAGGGGCGCGCCACTATCTGCTCTGGAGCACATTCCAAGTCCAAAACGCGCAGGCGTCAAGCAAAAATACAAACGGAACTGAGGTCTCCGAGGTCATGGCAGGCACCAGAGTTCCAGGATCGCAGGAGGTCCTGCCTGCAGAATAATCAAAAACACTTTGTGGTTACAAGTTACACCCCGTGGTCCCAAGGCATCCACGCCCAACCCCTTCATCATACTAGGCCGTCGACGGCCGCTGTACAGCTGCTGCAAGAAGAGTTGCAGCCACTGCGCACGTGCAGTCCTGATAAGAGCACTTCTTGCCAGCTCTGTCCGATGCCATGCAGATGTACAGTCTTTAGATGACTACAGTTCCAGAGGAGCCCGGGCAATTGGCTCCTAATTGGCCAATTGCTTGTCCCACGTTCATTTGGGATGCAGTTCATTGGGCCAATGCTTCTACAGCCAGTCGTCCAGCTCATGTTTTGCGAATGGTCGTTGAGATGTGACAGTGGGGGCACGCAAGGCCCCGACTATAAACGATGCTCGGCCGTGGCTGGAGGGCAGACGAAGCGGCAAAGGGCGCACCTCTTCCTGATGCGGACCATGCTGTCTGACAAAAAAACCTGCATCGTGTGCTTTCAAGTGTTGCATTGAGTAAGATGTGGGGGATGTGTCTGCGGAAGATGTCAGAATGCTGGCTGCGGGTATGAAGCCTGTACCAGGAAGACATTGAGGGCATGCTGCTAAAGCCTTGCAAATTCAGTGTCTCCTGCACGCCCACGATCAGACTCAGACTAGCCTGGGAAGACAAAAAACTCGTGCACAGTCCATCCCTGGGCCTGCGAAACCATAGCACGTTGTATTGGTACCGAGAGGCTAGGGAAATCTGCGATTTGCCAGTGCAGGAAACGCATGCATGTAACTTAGCATCAAGTTTGGTCTTTTGAATGCGTAGTTGCATGGTGGTGCTGTTCCCCCTGAAGAAGACTGACAGGTTACTTTGAGCTTGCAAAGGAAACACCATGGTGATGGCGTCTGCACGTGCACAAATCAGGCATGCCGTGGAATCAGCGAGGAGGAAACGCCGTTGAGCTGCAAGGACCTCCTTTCTGCCGTGGCCGTGTGGCATCGTCTCGAGTGCGGCCAGAATGTGTGCCACAAGAACATCTACCAAAGCTGCAGAGCCACCTCTTTAGCAGCTTCTCCAGTTCACCTACGCATGACACAACTCAACGCGAACAGCTTGCACGAATCCACTTCATGCATCAAAGCTCATGGCAGGTGCAGTCACTGGCCCGCATGACAAAGCTGCAGAGGTCTGTTAGGGTCTGTTGGAGCTTGTGCTAAGTACAACTAAGGCTACCAGGGTGCGGAAGGATAACGTGCGAATCTGTTGCTTACTGCTGGCCTTGACAATTGCGCTGCATCTGCGTGAAAATCAGCCAGGTCTGGTCTGCCAGACATGTCAATACGATGGAAGTTCCAAGCAATGGAAAGTCATTATGAGGCCCAACTGCTTTTCTTGCACCATGTCCAGCTGGCAATTTGGCATCTAGAAAGTCTATGGACAAGCTTGCCATCAATGGCCGCGACCAATGCTGGAAAGCTGATGGAGCATCCAGCCAAGGGTGACACGGAGGGACTGGACAACAGAGTCCCTTGCCCTCTGTTCCTTCTCAATGCGAAGCCAAATAGAAAGTGCATCTTACTGCCTTGTTGACATCCTCGGCTAGGCCCCCTTAAAAGGGATTGCAAGACCCTCCCAAGTACGATTCGGGTTCTTTCAAGATTTGGGAGGGGTCTCGCTTCGTGCCTCAACATTCCTCCTCAAACCTTTCTGAGTAGGATGCAAGCGCCAGCAAGCGCAGGTCCATCACAGCGAGCTGGCAATGCGAGCTTTGCAGCCTCAAGGGAAATGCTCACTGCATGGACAGAATCAAGGCTCGCCGTCGGCTCGCCAAGTTCAGCTAAACAAGTGCGAGCTACACGTTTGGATCTCAAGGTATTCATGAACACCAGGGTGTGTCCACGAACGGCTCTTGAAAAGACATGCTATCTGGCTGACGGCTGTGCTTCAGCAACAGCCAGCTACTTGGGGATTGGGGAACCGGCACACTGGACTTGCCGGTCAATGTCAAAAGTATCGGGCAACATGGTTCAGTCAAGATCACCAGCACCCCATGCCGGTGTCCTGACAGTGGCGATGATAATAATGGTGCCAGACAGGCAGCCTTGAACCATCATCATGATAGTACACCAAATTGTCGCCACAACAGGTCGCCTAGCGGAAGACACCTTCGGCGTCTGGAGAGTGGCAGGCAGGAGATCTGACAGTCGAGAAAGTCCAGCCAAATCACGAATGGACTGGCTTGGCATCAGCGACGGGAATGATAAGCGCAATGAGTTTAGAGACTTTCAGCACCCTCCATGCCACTTGCTGATCAACGCTCCATTTGGAGGGAGGAAAACTCCGGAACAGGGGCCAAAGGCATTCAGAAACCTCCAGCAGATACCTGAAACTTATGAAGAAGCCATGAGCCTGTGGCCATGCGATTCCGGGAGAGCTTACTAGTAAGACTAGTAGCTGCGTGCCTAAACGATATGAAAATCAAACAGTCGTACAGGCCTGGCCGTCAAAGCAGCAAGGCCGTAAAGTGTAATCTAGGACAAGGAGCCATGTACTTTTCAGTTTCAAAGTGCGGGGCACGCAATAGGGATTAAGACCGCAATCGGTCAACTTGCAAATCCGTGGCATGTTTCTGCCACTCTGCAACTACTTGAAGGCTCCATTCACAACAGCCGACTCTTGCTTCGAAGCCTCACTTTGCCAAATCCTCAGTTCGCGGCCATGCACAGCGCCATCTGCAAAAGTCTTGCTTCTGAAATCCAAGCCAGGTGCAAGAGGTTAACCTTCCACCTTTGCGGCCAGCCCCACTCTGGCTTGAGAACCTTCACACGAGGACTTGGGGGCAAGGGGTTGGAACGCAAGCTAGGTCAGGTGCTAGCAGGGGTCTCGCAGACATGCGCGCACGTGTGCTTGGGAAGTACTTGCGGGATCTTATTCTCACCCTGCTTGTGAAGCGTGGAAGAGCAATGGAAGCTGATCTTCAGGCAGATCCATAGGGTTTGAAAAGCACAGCAGGCGGTTTGAGTAAATCTTGCTTGTTTTTGGGATCCTGGCCTTGTGAAGCAGTTGAGGATCTGGGAAGCAAAGGTATTTCATTGCCGCTAGACAGGTAATTTGCTAGATGCTGTAGTTAGTCCGGTTGCTCTCTCACCAACACTCATCAATGCACTTCCGAAGCTGTTACTTGCGCGGGATCAAGCTAGAGATCTGCAAAACAAGCGGCTAGTTTTGCTTCTCAGCAATGGGAAAAAACAAAGGAGAAAAAAAAAGGGCCCCAATCGCCAAATGTCTCCACTGGGTGCAGCCCACAGCCTAGCTCCAAAAACCGGAGCTCAATGGTCACCCGGCCAAGGGTCCCTCCCCCACACCCCTTCTTGCAAGCGAACGCTTCATAAGAAACTAAGCCCCAGAGCGGCATAGAGAGCAAATGCCGCAGCAAGTGGCAACGTGCAGGCCTGTGAGCCGCGTTCGCACAGGCGATGGCACAACGAGGTCTGCCACCGCAGCAGACCTGACACTTTGCCAGAGGCTTCTGATCTGGCTTCTTCTCAATGCTGGGAGCTGCTAGGAGTCAGGCCGCTTCAAAGACGGCATCACTTCCTTCACAAACCGTACAAGTTTTCACGAGTTGCAGACATATTTCTTTCTGAGTGCACGTTCTCCTCAAGAAAGTCGCTGCTCTGCATTGAATCCTCCATGAATCCTGAAATGACAGATGTTTGCATCAACATCTGTCAACTATCTAGCATTGCGAAGCTGTCGGGAACCTTCTACCAACTGTTCCAGTTTGCTTTTGACAGACACCTATCAACTCAGCATCAGAGCCGCCTTTGGAGTTGGCATCTCGCAGAAGTTTGCGCTCAATCTTAGTGCAGGGAAAACATCTCATAGATGCATGTGAAATATTCACTGGCACTGGGGAAGCGACTGAAAGGCTCTGCCATTCTCCAAAGTGCTGAAACCTTCAGGCAGGAAAATTAGGAAGAAGACAGAGATGCTCACGTACATGACAACAGGAGCTTTCACAACAGGAGCTTGCCCCCACCTGGCAGCTACGCGGGAGCCCTCGACATCCAACACGCGTCCTGAAGTCCTGGCTGCTGTGAAGAGAACATCTGCAGGCATGTGACTGACTTGACTAACCCAGAGCCTGCACTGAAGGTAGATCTGGTCCTGAAGCAGCAATGGTGTGAGAAGTGTGCACTGTCGTACTGTGCATGTTTGCCAATATGTGCCCTTCGTATAAGGGATTAGCGTCGCTTAGCTCAGGCATCTACTTCGAGATTGGTTGGAGCGGTCCTTATGCCGCAGCTGTCGATGGCACCCTGGGTTTGCCTTCAGCAAGACCTAGGGAAATACGGAGGCGAACAAAGAGCCAGTGATCTTCAGCCCAACCATACACATTTTTGAGGAAGGCTGCTGTCCTCCAAGCTCGCTGCTTCGGGGGGCTTAACCCACGAACTAGCCGGATAGGTTCTGGATCGTGTTTGCTGAGTTGAGCTTTAATGAAAGGGATTTTCAGAAAAGATCTCTAGCCGTCTGTTGGCCATCAAGTAAGCATGTGACTGTCAGCTCGCAGTTGATGCTGCGTCCAGGGCGGCAAAGCACCTGTAGGATCCGTGCAAACTAAGAAATTCGGGGCGCGCTTTTCAGACTGCGGACTACGCAAGCATTGCTTCAACTCTGAAGATTCTCAGCGCAGCAGTGAATCATTCAGGGCAGAGAATTGCCTTGCCGCTGGTGGACACGCCCAGGGAGACACCTAGGACTTGTCGTTGGCACTTGTGACTACAAGTGTCAATCAAAAATGCTACAAGCATACCATGTAAGCCGCTTGACATGTGGAAATCCACCAAGGCCACAGGCCGCGGGTGCTGGGGGCCAAGCCTCTACCCACCCCAAACGAAGGTTGCTACAACCTACCCTGCATCCCTTTCTCTGTATGTATTTTTGTTGAAGGCATTTTTGTCAAGCGGGCCGCTTTTTGCCGAGGCCGGAGAACCAACGCTTTTTTGGTAAAAAATCAATCAAAATAAACACACAGGAGCAGAGGCCAGGCGCCTTTTTTGCCGCGTTGGCTGATCGCTTTTTGCTTATGATACTTGTGGAAGCAGGGTATGCTGTTGGGGAGGCAGGGCACGCTTTCTCGAGGCCGGGCGCCTTTGTTTCTTGCGGAGGCCAGGCACGCGCGTTTTTGATCGTTTCTGTGCAGGCTGCGAAGCGCGATGCACTAAACTACGATTTCCAGCAAACATGCCCCTTCCACACAGGCGCATGATTTCTGCCCAGAATACGATGACGCTCCACAAAAGAAACATACTTTGCACCGATGAGTGCCGGTAACTCATGGGACGCGAGCAACGGACGAAAGCAAGTGTCTGATAATTATCCGTAAATCCAATTTGTGACAGGTCGATTTTCCGTGAAAATGTGAAAACGTCCCACGCCAGAATTTCATTTTCAGCGACACTGCAGGCATGCGCCATACCCGAGCTAGAATCAGGCAGCCCCCGTCATCTGTAAAACAGCAGTAGGTTGTTGGCACCTGTTGACCGAATTCAAGAAAGAGAGATAGATGCCTGGGAGATCTAATCAAAGTCTTAAACAAATATTTCTTCTCATCTTCATGCATAGTTTGCACATGAACGTGTTCTCTCCTTGTTCATGTCTTGCCAATCGGAGAAGCAGGCAAACCCACAATCCCCGCCTTCTACCAAGCACCATTAATAAGCAAAGCTCACGAAAACCGCGCAAAACTTCCATGTTCTCATGTTCTTATCTTTTCCCTCCATATTTCATATGGCAAGGGTATGGTAGGGCTGCCCCCCCCCCCCCGTCCCTATAAAGCACAACAATGCTGCGCACCCCAACACATGGGATTCCTGAGCTTCAAACAACAGGCATACTTTTCTGTCAGATCCTATGTGCATCCGCATGGTTCACGGCGTTAGTGGCTGAAGCGTCCTTGAGCTTCGAAACACAGAGCCTGTCGCTTGTAGCAATGGAATCCGGCACTGGAATCACAGATCAGAAAAAAGGTTTTTATCTTTTTGGAACCGAGGCATGCCGAGCTTTTCTGTGCCTGCGATGAATCTGACATAATTTGTTGCATGGCGTGGTTTAGAGCAGGTACAATATCAATCAAGGAGTCGTCTGCTTTGCGGAGGGATCATGAGTCAAGCCAGGGTCTGAACGCATACGCCAATCTTCTCAATTACGAAGGTACCCAAATTCCATCCCTTTGACCGACCCCAGCTTTAGGGACTTCACAAGAAGGGAAAGAATGAAAACCAAACGTGCTGTGCTTTCGAAATTGATTACGATGCTCAAAGGATTCGTAGAAATCGTGAGACCAGAAATGGAGCGAAGACAAAGGAGTTGAAAGGAAACAACACTGATTGTATCATGGGATAGAATTCCACAGTCCCTCAGTCCCTCCCTCCAATCACTGTAAGGACCACGCTCACTCCTTGAGAGCCCCTGCAGTCTGAGCATTCTGAGTTCTGAGGGACGCACCGCTGTGCGCAAGGAGGCGAACAACGTCCCCATCCCGTACCGCACCGCTACACCCGGCCTTTGCACGATGCAAAGGCCGGACCGAGGCATGTCTTAAAACTAAGTTCAAAGTTGATTACTGCATTGTGCAAGAGGTCCACTCCAAGGTTCTTGCAGAGCTTGCTGCCGGACAAATGAGAAAAGTCTGCCAGTCACCGCCTTGGCTGGAATGATTAAGTGTTCCGGTGTAAGGACTGCTTCATGCACTTTAGGTTTCCAAGACTTGCAATGAGACTGCCATTCTCACTGACTGCTGCATTTGAGGTGGGAGCCCTCGAACCATCGTGCTGAAACCTCACGCATCTGGCTCAGCCACATTACAGCACTTGCATGAATTCAGCTAGTGACATTTCGAGCTGTTGCCAAACCAGGCATGGATGACGCACGCAAACTCATGAAAAAGGAAGCTGCCACTACAGTGTCCCCGCCTTACTCTTTTCAACGTCAACGCAGCGGCCGTTCCAGCTGCGTAAGCAAACTGCATGGCCATAGCGAACCTCGAACCCAGAGGATTCCAGAAGTGCAGCGACTGAACAGACGCGAGACGTTTTGCAGATGCAAGCTGCAAAGCAGGCGTAAGATCCTGAATCCTTCAAGTTTGCCAGCAAGTGGCATACGGGTCTCCCACTGTAGGCTCCAATAGCCTCTCCAATGGGTCCTGAGTGTCAGCTTGCCAGAGCTCTAGACAGGCCACACCTGCTTCCGTCCTCACCCAGCCCATTCCATGTGGGCAAAATGGGTGCTGCGCCTTTTCGGGGCTCATGATGAACTGAGCTCAGCTTCATCAGCCAGGCCTTCCAAAAGGCCTTGCAGAAAGCTACTGCGGAAATCCTGGCACAGACATAACACATCTCAACGCTGGAGGGAACTGGACTAGACCCCGTCTCATCCAGTGTGCTGACATGAGGTGCTTTTCTCTCGTCCAGTAGTATTGTAATCCGTAGATGGCAAGTATGGGTGGCCAAGTTTCTGGCATGCTCGAAGATCTGTGTTCATGCAGCATCCAGGCTTTCATCTCCATCTCACTGATCAAGCATGTTGAGATGGATTGGCGGATGTCCGCCGCGGCCGGGGCCGGAGGCCCGGGGCGGTTAGACCCGGGTCCGGAGACTCGGAGAGTAAGTTAGCCATCCCCCTGCCCCCTCCCACTCATTTCGGGGATCGGCTCTGCCAGGCTAGGGTGGGTCTCCCCTAGGCGCGAGGCGGTGGGCGGGGTCGAGGGGTTGGGGTGGGGTTCGGCTATGCCTCGCTCTTAGCCACACTTGCCGAGGCGGTCTCGCGTGGACAAAACAGACTGCCAGCTTTGATGCTGCTTCCCTGGGCCAGGGGAGTTGAAGTTATTCTGATTTTTGAATGAAACAATGTCATACTTACAAACTATAAACTTGATTCGAGAACTCTATGAGAAGCATCTGCGACAATATCCTAAAACACCTCGCACAACATGAACAACTATCCTGACATGGCTATGCTTTGGCACAGGCGACACGAAAGGACTCGGACTGTGTGAATGGATTGGTGAATGTGTGCACAACTAAATGAGCAGCTAAAGTAGGCAATGCTGATCGCATCGTTCCTGCCGGCGTCATCAGCCGCATGATTTGACTTTTGGCTGTGTGCTGGGAACAAACCGGTGCACTTTTGCTGCACACTCTCTTGTTAGGAGGCTTTCGCACGACTTGGGATTCAGGCTTTAGCATGTTAATTAGGTTCCACGGGATGAGTTCTTAGGCTTTGCATGGCAGCACATCTGCCCTGGGCACCCAAGGCCTGGAGGGTTTCGTTTCACGATTTTCGGGTGTTTTGAGCGTTTTCGCCTGCTTCGAGAAGCTCAGGCAAGTTTCCGGGCAGTGAATATAACTTCACACAAACTGTTAGGTCCAAACTCCTTCGGCTCCTGGTCTACTCAATATCAAGACAAAGCTCATGTATTGGATATCGAAGCTCCTCATCTCGATATCCTTTCCTAGCAAGCGCTTGAATACATGCGCGTATACCACAAGCCAGCTGGCAGTCCCAAGCAGGGCCAGCACCATCGCGCCAGTTCCAGAAGAACCAGCCGTGGGAAGCCTGGCAAGGCCAAGGCAACTTTCCCACTTAGAAGTCATCAAGCAAGCAGGGCGCTGTTCGAACAGACTTCTTTCATGCAAAGGCTTTTGTTCAAGAAACAGCAGAATGAGCAAAACAAGAGCAGATCATCAAGTGTGTCACAAGAAACCCCCATTCTACGAACCGGTCTCGTTGCCATTCTGCGAACCAGTCTCGTTGATGTCTCATTCTTCCACTACGCCATTCGTCCCAAGCTGGAGTCTGTGCTGACTGCACCTGCCTGCGAATAAGCATTAAGCTGCGCCCTGGCAAACAGGTTCATCGCCTGAAGACAGCTGGACAGTGACTTCGTGATAGGCACAGGATTCACAGAAGCTTTGAACGATGTCCAATGGTGAATATTGCTGAATCTGACAAGACCACGTCAGAAGTCACCTCGCGGGGGCACATGGCTGAAGCTGCACGTCCGCCCAGTGCCAAGCTCCACCTGGCCCCGGATTGAAACACTCTTCCGTGATTGCTTTGATCCACTTGAACCAAGCTGCTCTCCAACGACCAATGGAAACCTCGCAGTAAGGCATGCTCAAAAGAATTACAGTGACATGAAGCAGCGCCGAGCAGTGAGGGCTCCGCTCTTGAAATTCACGACCGTGGTCTTCAACAGCCCGGAGGTGCTGCAAGCGAGCATTGTCTCTCACGGTCCAAAACTTCCGGATTGCCCTCTGCATGCAACCATATCCTCTGCAAGAGTCATCCGGTTCCATGCATCTTCAAAGCAGTGGTAGTGGTGGACCTGATTGCGTATAGATAGCATGCATCTTGAAATGCAACAAGCAATTTGACTTGGGGCTGAACATCAAAGCAGGTATTCCTGTGTCGCCCTTTTGAAATCTGACGCCACCTTGCAGTGCAGAGAGGCGCCATCTTGCAAGGATATGCAATTATCAAATGAACGGAAACGGAAGACGGTCACTTGCCAAACAAGATGGGATCACTAGGCTGCAACACGGTACCTGAAGCAGTAAGGCCTGGGCAAAGCTTCAAACCTAGGTTGAGTTCAAGTGCGCAGTCATGATACTGCGCAAGCACTCTCTCTCAGATGAAGGCACAACGAATGTTTGCTTGCAGCACCATAAGAAAAATTAGATTTCAGTGTGCGCCATGGAAGCCCTGCGCTTGGGGAATAACGTTCGAAGACAACGCTGGAATACTGGAAGCACCACTGTCACCTGCCAGGACGGCGCACACACATCTAAGCAGGAAGCAGCCTTTGTAAGTTGACTTCAAAGAGTAAGCTGCAGAAAGAACACGTTTGGACTCGCGCAGCAGGGCTGGACTCAGAGTCTGTCAGAAGGCTGTAGAGACCTGCTAAGTTCAGGTCACTGCAGCTACCAGCTTCTTCGATCTGTTGTTGGTGTACTGGGCTGGTAATTGCAAGATCCCTGTTGTGTCAGAGACGCCACAGTTCTCTTGACTCTGCGCATCTGTCCACGGACCGCAAAGCACTGCTACTTCTGAGTCATAGAATGTGGGGTCAATCTTTTCCATGGAGGGTAGCAGCATATGCCCCTAGTGTGCCAAACAGCTAAGCTTTTGCTCCAAAAGGGTCACAACCCAAACCCCTTTTGGGTGAAGTGACGGACAGCAATCCTGCGGAGTGAGCATAACACCTGAGTGAGTGAAGGTCCGGGTGCCCAAAGAAGAAGCAAACCAAAGAACTGAATCGTGGTTGATCACTGCCGAGCCCACGTCCGACTACCATCTATCAATTGCGGTCCGGCAGCGTAGATGGCATGTAAATCTTCATAATAGGATATCCATGTTAAGATCTAAAGAAGCCTTCCTTTCATCCTTCTGCCCTGATCGCAGGACTTTTGAGAGATCTGGCTTTAATTGAATGTGTCTCCTGAGTACAGACTTCGGCCTGAAGCTGGCCCAGGCCCAGGACTAGCAGATCTCTCAGCCGCTTGGCATTCTGTGTCTCAGACACAGCTGCATCTTGTTGAGACTGGCAAAAACAGGGAGCTTCCACTGTTCCATGAACGCTGGAGCACCCAACTGCTGCCTCTTGAACTTCTTAGATGACTGAGCAACATCCATAAGATACTCTGACCCGAGAACTTTCCCTAATGCACTTGCACGGGACACGAAGAAGCTTCCCTCAGAAGGCCTGGCAGGCAGTTTGCGTGTTGATCCATGACCAGTGCAACGACAGGGCTCTTGTCGCTGCAGCTTGATCGCTGTCTGCTCACTCTTTTTATGCAGAGACAAGTTCTTGCCGAGCAAAGCAGAGGTCAAGATGCTTTTCATAGGCTACTTCTGTTCAGGTCTAACGTATCCTACACCAAAGGAGTGGTGTTGTGGCTCAGGTGAGCCAATTCTTCTGTGCGACAGCTACGCCAAAATGCTGCACTGGAAGAGTTGTGGCCACAGTAGCTTCGGCGGCCTGTGCAGCTGGCAGCCTGCAGTCACGGCTTGTAAACCTGCCCAGGCACACTGCAAGTGGCATGTGATTTGGAGGTCTCATGTCAGTTCTAACATCCTCGTGAAGATCATCACAATGTACAGCTTGTAGGTGTCCTGACGCAACACCACCAAATTCCATCAAATGCTGATATAAAAAACTGAGGAGTCCTCTTCCATGAGGAATCTCCACCCAAAATCCGTTGGCCTGTGTGCAGGGCAGGTGTGCACATGTGAGCCCATTGACTACTCTGCTCGCAAGATGGGCCCTGCAGAGCCCGGCCAGATCACCATCTGCGTCTCGAAATAATGGAGGGTCGTAGCGCTTGCTGGCCATTAGCCGCTTGGCCTTAGCTGTGAAAATGTTGAGCCCCTTCCAGGCTGCCTCAAAGGTCTCCCGTCAAGTTGCTGCGGCTTCCGCCTGTGCGCGCTTCTTTGCCGCCTCTGCTGCCCACTCGGCCTCCATACGGGCCATTTCCTGGCATGAGAGGATGAGTCAGGAAGGGCTACAGTCTAGATCTCGTCGACAAATGCTCGAGTACCAGCTTACAATCAAGCACAAGTGCCTCTTGATCTTCGGGACTCCTCTCGTTCGGAGCTTTCCTTGGCGACAAGGTTTTTTCGTCTTGCCTTGTTGTTTGGACTGGCCACAGCTGAACTGCGAGAGAAGATGAGGCAAAATGCAAAAGAATCACGTTACTCATAGCGACCAGTTGCCCGTTTCGGGGTCGCTTTCTCCTGCTCTCCTCAGCTTCGGGGGCTGTTGCCTGCACATTGGCTCAAGGTCACCAGGAAGTCTCTCTCACTCGCCCGCAGCCTTGACCTCTGGAGGCGGTGTGCGACTCCGCTCGCGTTCACTTCCATCCTTTGACCAGCTCTGGCAATATTGTGATTCACGCATCGTCACGGTGCCCGCGGCCTTCACTTCTGGAGGCGGCGTTCGACTCCGCTCACGGTCATTTCCACCCTTGCAGGAATAACCAGATCATTGCAAAATTGCTGAGTGCTGATTTCGCACATGTCCAGCTATCAGCCGGAAGAGTCTGGCAAATCATGTCAAAGCCTACCCTGAAGAACCAAAAGGGTTGACTGATAAAGAAAAGCCCGCCTCCATGTCGACATCTTCGGCTGTCATGGCCCCGGCTACCTTGGTGATTGTCAATGCTATGAACGGAAGAACTATCTTTCACACACAGAGGCAGGTAGCCCTTGACCAGCAGAAGCAAGAGCTGTCCACTCCACTGCAAGGCATCATACAACCACAATCCCAATTTCAAGCCAATATGCTTGTGGACCGCCTCGGCGACTGCTACGCTGGTGAGCCCGAGCAACGGAGGTGTGGGAAAAGGGGTTCTGAGTTCTGCGCATCTTAACAAGTGACAGGGACTGCTTGGAAGCTCATGTAAACTGACTAAAGGAACTCAGCTTGACCACATGGGAGGGCACCCTGTCTGTCATTCCAGCTGCGCGAACAACGTCCACAGCCTTGGCCAGCAGAGTCCAAAACTTCCATGAGATGCAACTTGTTTTACCCAACAAAGATGACCTTCCCTTCCAACCACCCCCCACGGCCTCATCGTAGAAGCTAGCGAGGATCTCTGCAGGAATTAGCCGTGATGGCTCATTGCAGACAGCAATGCCGGTTACCTGGGCAGGCTGGAAACTGTAAAAAGAAATCACGCAGCTAGCAGCAAGCTTTGAATCATCGGCTTGACAAGCACCAGATAGAAGGATGCAAAACCCAGGGCAACTGACTTCAGCGGCACGCTGGGTGCATATCGATGCAATGCTGCGCTTTTTATTTCTTCTTCACCCTGTACCCTCTTCCAACAAAAATAGGTGAAACATCGGAACTGGTGACGGCAGTCGTGCACTGCACAGCGAGCAAAGCCTCTACCCGTCACGTGTGGACTCAGCCACGGATAGATGACACAAGCGATCACGCTTGTCTTCAAGTGTCACATCCAGCCACAGGAACTGACTTCTGCTGTTTCGTAGCCACGACTGTGATGGGGTAGTGACAGAAATCAGTGGGCGGGCGCCCGTGTGCTAGCTAGGTGAAGACTACCCAACACACAGAAAAGTGATCGAATGCCATAGACAATGCCAGATGAGAGCACGGTCTACTTCAAGTCTTCACCAGCTGAAAGTAACGAAAGGTGGTGATCCTGAAATATCTCGCCACCTGGAACTGAGGGATTCTTGCCTGGCGCGTCAGGGATCAAGCCCTGCCGATGATGGTCACAGCATTGGGAAAGGCCAGCACTCAAAGGCTGAACTGTATAAATACATGTGGCACAACATTTGGGACTTGGGCGGCCAATACTGTGTGAAACTGCGGCAGTGCAGATGCGCCAGCAAAACCCCGTACATGAACAACGAGCAGAGATCATGAACAGGATCTTTGAAACACATCGTTTGGTGCCTACGCTAGGTCCATCATTTGAGCTGCACAAGCTTGGCATTGCTGCGTTCTGCGAACTCCTGAGGCCAGCTTGACATGCTCCAAAAGATCCCGCTCTTTCCGCTTCTGAAGCTGAGATTCAGCTATCTCCAGCATTGGTTCGGCCGTCACCCTTGCATCCTGGCCTCGCTCCAAGAAACAGATAAGTCAGCCTGAGTTTCTTCGCAGATGATTCGTACAAGGGCACGCTAGAGTCGCTAGAGAGAGTAGAGGGACCGACAAACGTGAGTTCGGCAGCTGGATTTGCAGCTGAGTGGGCCCCTGGAACTTCCTGCTTTGGGCAGAATCTTCACATGATTATTATGAAGAAGCTATTAAAGATTGCCTCATGCATCAGAACGTCAAGCCTTGGCTGAATCCAAGCCCAGACCTGGGCCAGCCTTAAGACGTCAAAGCTCACCGCTCCCGTATGCTCCCGTTCTCTGTGGCGTTAGTACGCCTAGAGCATGCGGAGCGCTCACGGCGCCTACGATGAGCCCGGGCAGCTCGCTGTGCCATCCTGGCGGTTGGGACAGCATCAGTCAAAGGACGAAGAAGAATCAGCACAAAGCAAAACAAGCAGGGGAAAAAGCAGGTCGGTCCTCCGGGCTTGCCTGGCTTCTTCAGCACCACAGTAGTGGCACAAACCACAAGCATCTCCGGCTACACAGCCATCGCCCAACGAATGAAACCAGCACGGTTTACAACGGCCTTGTTGATGCATCAAGAGTGCAGGTGCCATTGCACTTGGCTGAGTTTCTGCCCTACCCAAGGATGTGTCGGACTGATCCAAAGTCTCCTGAGGCTCCTGAGGCGCATCGGCCTCCAATGAAACACTTGTGCTGCCGCACATGCTTTGCTCGCCCTGCTCTGAGCCATCTGTCATGGTGGATCCAGTTGTGCATGGATGAAGCGCCTCAATGCGCTCCTTCAGCACCAACAGGTCGGGTTCGGATCGGCACGTTCGAATCGCGAACAGGTTTTCTTCATCGACGCGTATGTGTATGAAGGTGTTCTTAACAAATTCGGTCAGATCCATGAAGTCTGTCCTGTTCCTGGGCAAGGCGTAGGCCATAGGCTAGTGCAATTGGCACAGGGTCCTGGGTTGTCCGGCTTGAGCAGGAAAACCACTTGCAAAGAGCAAAGCTTGACCCCAAAGGCAGTTCCTCTTTGTAGGCTAAGTGAGATTTTCGAATACCCGTCAAACATCAGAAGACAGCAAGAAGAACATGAAATGCAGCAGAACACTGAAGGAGTGTGAAAGGGGGCGGCGGAGGAGTCAGATTGTGGCGCTAGCCACAGCACCTAGAAGGTATTGCCTCAACAGCAACCCATGAATATGTTGGCGATTTTGGTCCCCTTGAATAGGCCTGGACGCCGTAAACTATAGCTAACCGAATGTCAAACTAATTTCATGTTGAAGCAATATACCACTGTGAAGTTGTTCTTTCTTAAACTTCATTGCAAGGCACGCAAAGTCTCAGAAGCAGCTTAGTTTCCTGCACACTTCCGGTCGCGGTATCTTCGGGCAACAACCTGGCCAGCTGGCCAGCGCTGTATTGCGCGTTGTTTCAGGAAATCTTGGCACCTCCAGGGCCTTCAGTGTCTCCAACCTTCGCCATTGCTGCCACACCTCTGATTTTTGATGCTCCTCCCTCTTTGCTAGTCTGCAGGGCACATGGGTGTTCCTATGCTTCTTGGAAACCAGGCCCACTTGGACTCTGGTCGCTGTCTGTGGCCACATGGAGCATCCGCGCCTAGGGCAAATCAAGTGAGTGCACTTTGTTCAATGTCCTTCGAAGATTGGCTAAAGGCAACCGTAAGGCTTGTACTTTCCCCACCCGGACAGCCGTGAAGATCTAGTAGCACCTGTCACTAGCAAAGCCTCGTTGGCACACCAGCAACAATTTCAGCAAAAAAAGCAACCTCGAGGTGGCATTCCTCAGCCCACTGGACCGCTTTGTCCAGCATGTCGAGGGCTGGTCCCTGCTCGGAATCCAGGTAGTCATGCATTGACTTGCGCATGGCTTGACACCCCCGAAGAATCACCCAAAAAAACCCTTTGCCACGGAAATGGCAGCTCTTAAAGATGCATCGCTCTGCAGAGTCATACCGTGAGCCCGCGCAGTTTAATCCCGGTCTGCCAATGCCCAGAAAAAAGCTTTCCATGCCATGCTAGATATTTGGAAACCACTAAGCGTTGAAGGCTGGCTGTGCCTCGTAAGGTTCCCCTGCACTGGGGCCAAGCACAACCCAGTAGCCAAAGGGAACCTGCAGCGTCACCCACCACAACTCCGGTCCCCTGTTGCGACTCTTGCGAATCCACTTACAGCTCGCACCCTGACGGAGTTCAGCCCCATGTCGTGGATGGCCTGGAAATCCTGAATCGAGCAGGCCGGTGCACAGGGCAAATCTGCACACATTCCATTGAACAGCCAAGTTTACTTCAGACTGTGTTGTGCAAGCGGCGCTATCTAATGACAAGTGCGCCTACAACTGCAATATTAATCATAGTCCTGCTTGCTCAAGAAGGTCTCTCTGTGACGGTGAAGCACATGCAAAGCCTGCATGGTAGCAACATCCAGAGAGACAAACTCGAAGAGAGGGCGGGGCCTGGCGACTCCTCAAAAATTCCATCAGGGACCATTCGCATCGGAGCTGCGGCTCTCCTGAGACCATCAGCGAGGCAAGAAGCGAGGTCGAGCACACACCTGGCCCACCTGGAAAAAGGGGAGCGGATGGGCCCGGCTCCAACAAAAGCCAGCCGCCAAGATTAACGCCACGCCTTTCTGGATGCGTTTTGTCCAAAAAAATTAGCTGTATTAGCTCCTGCGGAGATTTTGGTGAAACAGCAAAAGCCACAATCTGGAAACTACCCCTTCCTTGTATGTCTTTGCGCCTACTCCTCAGTTCCGGACCAGGGCCTTCGGCGCTCGGGCGCCTGAATGCCTCCTGACAAGCTGCTCTCATTCTCCCTCCTGTTTGAAACCTTCCAGGTAATGATTTCCCGCAGAGGCTAACACCCAAAACATGTCTTGCGGCATGCGAGTTCCCAAGCTGTTAAAACCAGGGCAGCTCAAACAAGTGCAAGTGAAAACAGCATTGCTCAATAAGCACAATGTTCCCACGCAACCCGCTCCAGGTGAGCCAGTAAAGAAGAAAGAGACTTCACAAGACAGCTGTTTGAATGGCTCGCCTTGAGTGGCGAAATGGGAGGGTGAATCATTTTCCCTCTTTTGCACTGAGGTTCGGCAACAACGGAAAAGATGTGAGACAATTGCACTGTGCGTCATTGACCCCGGCTGCTGCAGTCTGACACAGCACAGAGCCGTTCGCTAAGCTTTGAGCTTGGCCGCGCAGCCTTCACTTCAACAACACCGCAGGACACCGCTGTCACAAGCCTGAAAAGCTGTGAGTCCAAGTTGCCAAAGTCTCAACACAACCAACATCAGCCCTTTTGCGCGCCTGCAGGTTGCGCCACGTCTTGGCCACGAAGCCATATCTCCAGGTTGCGCTCATAAGCATCTAGCCTCCAAGAACAAGGCCCGATTGGATTTTGTCAGACATGCTTGCGCTGATAGAGCGTGACCTCTAACTCTCTGCGTCTACACATGAGTTAGCACGCCCCTTCCTTGCATCAGTGCTGATTTTTCAGCGAAGAACATGCACTGACAACTACTTGCACGGCATCATGCACATTCATGTGCCTGTGGGGGAAGACTGCCTCGGCCGATCTCCACATTTCCTGAGGCAGTCACAATCACGATTTTAGCATCTGCCTGACAGAAAGCCGAATGCAGTACCCAACCGTGCAAACAATTTCAGAATGCTGCTCTGATGCATGCCCTAAGCTGGACTTTCACTGACGGCGCCTCAAATTTACAACTTACCTCCGGGCTCCTGGATCGTCACAGACACGCGATCCGTATTGCGATCTGACTGGGAAATCATGGAACGAAACTGCACTCTGAAGCTGTGTGGGAAACAAACGCCGGAATGCCGAAAAAAAAAAATGGCTGTTCCTCCCGGCCTGACACACTGGATCGGATTTTCCAAAGCCTGGTTGTTACTGGCACTTCACCGGAAAGCATGCGTTCACAATTGAAGTGCAAGTCATGAAAGCGTTTACTCATGTATCTCATCGCTGTGCTTTAACTGCCATGTGCTGAGTTGCGCAGCAGCCGTGGTCCTCGCAGCGGTGGCAATGTGCACAGCAGACGCCAGAGCAGAAGAGTCAAGCTCCTGCATGATCACATGTTCTGCCAGAAGACATTGTCATGTCAGTGTCAGGCCAAGCTTGCATTCGACAAATTGGGAGGGAAGATATTCTCACAAAAACGCCAACCGCATTCATGACAAGGCTCGAAGAAGTAACCGAAACCTTCATCTTCCAACCGGACCCAACGTGTAGCCATAAAATGCTGCGTTCCGAGAAGACTGGTATTTTGTCACCCTCCGTCATGCGCCCTTGACCTGTCGAATGCAAAACCGACAGTTCCTCGTGCAAGTCCAAGCCATGCATCCTGAACCCTTCAAGCCCCCAGGTGAGGCCAAGCAGGCGAGGGCCAGCCAAGGCTTCGTCACCCTTATGGCGAAGTGCTCACCACCTCTGGACTTCAGCCCGACGCCCCCTGCGCCCACAGCCTGCGCGAGGGCAACTGGTGGGGCTGATTCAGCTGCAGGCACGATTCCATGCAGTCGCCGCTCCCCGGCAGCTATCTTCGCAAACTCGGCCTTCAACTGGGCCATCCAGCCAGCGTCAAAGATCAGCAACTCATAGGCCTGAGCCCTTCGAATTCCGACAGGGACTCCGCGTCCTCGCCGCACTCGAAAAGTCTGGACATCCTCGTCGCCAAGCGAGAGGTCCTGTGGAGCACCGGAATACCTTGTGACATGCGGAGCCATTGCAGCCAATTCACCACGTCGAGTCCGCGGCGCGGGCCCGGCCGGGCTCTTTTGCTGTTTCGCACTCCTCCAGTTTGAGCTGGCACCGCTCATCAGTTGAGCCCTCAGCCCTTTCAAGCTCAGATGCTACACAATTTTTTGTAAACCGTGCAAGGAGGACACTCCACATGAAAACGAAATTTGCGAGCAATCTGCGGCTCCCGCCTGCCGCGCCCCGTGCTTTAAAGCAGATTAAACCAGTCACAGACACAACCTTGCGACTGCCGAAAACCGTGCAAAAACCTCACATCAGAGCTAACAAAAACCGCACGAAAACCTCACCGTATGCCATCAACAGAAGCCCTCACAGCAACAGATCACATCATCCCTTTCAGATCATCCCACCAATCACACATCAAGCCATCCCAATCAAGCCATCCTGTAGACCACTCCCTCCCCAGAATACCCTTCTCAACCCTTCTCAACACCTTGGGGAAGAAAAAATGCACTTCTATCACCCAATCACTCGTAACCGTCTATTGTAAACCATCAACTCAACCCCCTAAGTCGTACAGCCTGAACCATCAGAACTCCACCCTTCGACCCCACAGCTGACTCTAACACCCCTTACACCCCTGAACTACGTCCATAAGCCGCCCCCAAGCTTTGCTAATCCATCCACTGCTGCCAGTGTATCCCAAGCCCTGTTGACTTGAACCTGGCATGTCAGCAAACCATGAAGTCCAAAATATGGACAGCTGAAACCATTGAGTCTTGCTGCCAGCAACCCTTCACACCCCAAACAACTTCATTCTCAGCCTAGCAAGAAGCATAAATTCTGAGGATGCTCAAGGGAAAGGTTTGGTCTTACATGGTCGATCAAAGCCGGACAATTCTTCGCAGGCCATAGATGGTGAGCTCAAGCTAAAGTTGCCATTGATTTTGCAAAACCCTGAGACTCGCTCCACAGCGGGACAGACGTGGACGTAGCCTCCAGCACCCATTCGTTCTTGCCTCAGCCAATACCTACCCGGTCCATTAACTCGGCAACTGGCAAACGCTCTTCTGGCTGCACCAAGAGACGGGGGATCAAGTATCTATGCTGCTGACTCATGCGTTTTTCACTTCAGATCCTCTGTTCGTGCACAATCTCCCACGCAAACAGCCATGTTGAAGCAACTTGAAAACTGAATTGCAGGAAGGCACGGAGCTTGCAGCCAAGTACTCAGCCGCCTCTGGAGGCTGCTCGGTGCCTTCAACGTGCTTGCATGTGAGGGCAGCTTGGACTTTTAGAGGCCATCAGGCCAACTTTTGCAGCCAAAATGAAGCCTCTGCACATGTCCAGCACATGCTAAAGCAGCGCTGCAGCCGCCTCATCTTCATGATTTGCCGGAAGCTTCGGCACGATGTCAAACCTTCCAGACCATACACCATGGCAACGCGGGGCTTCTATAGAACTCACTTAGCAGCAGCAATCATTCTTCTGAATATCAACCGTCCTGTTCACAAATCTGGCCGTCTTCGGTACAGCTGCAATATAGAGAGCTGCAAAGTTGGCATCTCCCACGCGAGGGGATCCCCAGGTGCAGCACTCTGCTTCCTGGGCTGAGAAAAGCGACTCAAGCAGCCCCTTGCGATAGCATGATGCAGGACGTACCCTGGGTTAGCTGTAGTTACCACCTGATTTGCCCGGTTTCTTTCAGAGTCCTCTGTTAAGGAGCAGCTGCAACAAAATCTAAGCGGATCATCTGGAAAGAGCACAGCTCCAGCATGCAAATGCCCATCATGCAGTCCTACCAACATGTCTCGCAGCATGTCTTTCAGCTATATAATTTGTCCCAGTCCGGCGGCAAGCCCGCGACACGTCGCCAAATCGAAGCCTGAAACACGCCCAAAAAATGGGTTGAACAACCTGTCAAGTTCTAAAAAGCTTCGGCCATGCTCAGCTCCCAGCAGGCCAACATAGCCTGACTGCAAATACAGCAACATACGGCCGCAATTCTGTTGAATTCCACTTCGGATTTCACCATCCATCCTTCTTCCTCCAAACGCCACATCAACCTCCCCAACCCTTCAAAGCTGCATAAAGACAACACTTAAACCAACTCCATGAACAGGCTGGACAGCTTGCAGGTCTGCAGACTGCTGGACCGCATCTGTAGCTTGCGCACCATCCACCCGTCCAGTATCAGACACTTGAAGCAGTCAACCCCATTCAAGGCTTCAAACATCCCTGCTAAGGACACCCTGCATCAGAAGCACTGCATCTTCCAGCCTTTTGCTATCCGGCCTAGGCCTAGGCTCTCTGTATGATGCTTACTGTATCCCGATTGCGTAATGTCACAGCCACCCAAAAAGCCACCCACACGGGGCTTACACCTATATGTGCGCTCAACAATGATCCAGCAATAACGCCAAGCAAGAAAACATCTATCCATGACTGCCTTTAGAACTCCAAGGAGCCAGTGCACCCCCGAGGCTGTGTCCAGTGGCTCGAAGCAGCACTTCGCTGGGAGCGATTGACAAATCTGCCAAAACTGCGTTGAGCCTCTCAGCATGGATTTTCGTGCAGGGTCACGGGTAATATCGAAACGAGGTTGCACCTCTCCAGGAAACGTGATCGCAGGGCCAAGTATGCATCCTCAGGTCTTGGATTGGAGTGCTGGGGCGTAAATGCCTGCCTTCTCTCACAGCTGATGCCGCAACGTCTCCTGAAACCCTCGATGAACCAGCGCATGGCCTGATCCCAAAGCACATGGCACCAACTCCGCCAGCAAGTTTGTCGCCAAATTCTCTTGGCTTACCTTGTCTGATACATGCCAACAGCTGGAGACTACCATAGAAAACTTCGCTTGCCTGGCATCAGAAATCAGACAAACGTAGATACCGAGGCACCGTGCCACGAAACGCGAGGTTCATCACAAGCTTTACATTGGGAACGTCATGATGCCCACAAACCTCTACTCTGTAGGGCAAGAATGATGTGCGACGCTGTTTTCACGCAGAGGTGAAGCAGCGGTTGCGCCTGACCCAACACTCGGAGCTGCTGCGCATCCTCTCCAGGCCAGTTCGGATCATCTGCCAGAACCTACATGCCAGGCTGCAGGTCAACGAGCACACCAATTTCCGGCAAAGTGGCTTGTGGTTTGTGAGTTGAGATGATCTTGGCGGGAATCCCGTTCCGCTTCATAATCCAGCACCCAACAACTTTACACTCACCCAGGCCCCTTTTCAGTCTCAAATTTCCCAACCCGTTGGCAATGCAACACAGCCTCCCACTCGTCATGCTCCTTGCAGTGGTATGCTCGCTGAGCACGGCGCAAATCATGTAGACACCTCAGTAACGCAGCAAGATCGAAAGCCAAAGCCTGCATCAGCAAGACATGAAAGTGGTGCGAACCCTGCTCCGAAATCATCCATGCTTATACCATCGCCACCATGCAAGCAATGCGTTGCGTCAAGCAGGTCGGGAACCTTGTAGGAGTTTGCAGCAGTGCGGCAGCAAAGGTGCCCATTGCCCAGCCATAATACTATCACCAACAACTGATCACGTGATGCACTGCGTGCAAGAGAGCAAAGCACATGGTGTAAGCTGGCAAATTATGACCGTTGGCATGCTATGGTGCAGCGGCATTGCTTATATCAAACACGAACACTAGGACACTAGGGCACTCACCCGGCGGAAGGAAACAGCCAACGATGCGTGTCATAGCACGATACGAAACAGCACACCAGTCATTCGCACGTCCACTTGCAAAAACATGTTGGCAACCTTTTCTGGCCTTCTGTTGTCCCGTCTGCTCGGCACATTCCGGAAGCACACTGGCCTGCATGGGCCAGGAGCACATACAAACTTGCAGCCATTCAATAAATTCGAACGATGAAGGCACATGACAACCCTGCCTCAAAAGCGTGACGACGAATTAAACTGAGCCAGCATGCACATACATCGTGGCAAATGATCAATGACACCAAGATACATGGCATGAACAATGAAAACAAAATTCCATCGACGTGAACTGAACAAACGACACAGCTTTTTTGCTATATGTAACGACATCCTAGTGAAGGCTGGATGATTCCAAGGATTGTTTGCATATGCTATGCCTCACTTTATGACCTTGCAAAAATTGACATGTCGATTCAAGTATTCACTCCAAGTTTGGCAATCCAAACACAACATGAAACGCGTTCGGCGCATATGATGTGAAAATAATCGCTTAACACATGCAAGATGTTTCAAAATTTATACCACTTCGGCATAATAGGCCGATTCTTCCGCG